CTCAGCCTCTTTTCACCCTATCCATGTTACCTTATCTTCTCCCCTTAGCCATCCCTCTGAAAGTCCCTCCTTTATCTATTATTATCTATTCACTCTACCTTTCCAATCTATCCACCCTTCCAAAAGTCCCTCTCCTACCCTATCCCCCAGTTTTCTCACCTCTCTAGAAGTTCAGAAAGCTTCTAAACCTCTTCAAATATATGTTCTTTCCTCTTCAACCCCATGAAAGTAAGGTTCCAATATTGCCAACCCTCTATCCTGACCTGCTTCCTCTGTGTTAGTTCTTCCTTTCAAGCCCCATTGTCATGAGATAATTTCTCCTTTTAACCTTTTCCTTCCCAATTTTGTTTTTTAGAATTATCTCATCATACACAACTCAGCCCCAACCTTTCTTTCAAACTACCTTAGTAATGATAAGTTTTAAGAATTCTATTAGTAATAATAACTAATAATTACTAAATTTCATGTTTCTTCTAGATCTTTTATATTGAATTTTCCATTGAGATTTGGTCATTTTGTTTCAAATACCTAAAAGTCTTTCAGTTCATCATATGTCCATTTTTTTGTGTACTGGCTAGATTTCTTTCTCAAAGACAAAATTCACTCTGGATCTCTTGGTTTGAACCATAGTAGGTCCCTGGCCTAGCACCTCTCAGTGGTTATTTTTTGGGCCCTCCAGACTCAGAGTGAACATAACTAGTAACTGTTTCTTTTTTGGCCAACAACCCTGAGGGTCTTCCCCTCCCAGTTTGATTTTTTTTTTTTATTATTAAAGGGGCGATTCCAATAGGCGTTGCCTCACTCAAAGTTAGAACCTGAAAAGACCTTAGCTTTAAAGGGCCAAGGTCTCCCACTGCATACTGGGCCATCTCCAGTCATCCTGGTAGACATCTGGCCACTGGACCCAAATGGCTCTGGAGGAGAAAGTGAGGCTGGTAACTTTGCAGCCCTCACTCACTCAAATCAAAGTCAATTGCAAGTCATGCCATTATCTCCTTAATGTCGTGGTCCTCTTTGAGAATGAAGAACAAACCACACACGCAACCACACATTCAGCATTATACTTGACTTTGCTGAATAAATTATCCTTGAATGTAAGCCCTGCTCATTTACTCTTAGAGAGATAATGTTCCAAGATCTATGATTTTTTAGTATAGAAGCTGCTAGGTCTTATGAAATCCTGATTGTTTTTCCACAGTGGTTTTTTTTTTAACAGTGATAAACAATTTTTATTCAGGCAATGAAACATGAAAAAATATATTAGTACTTATTATAATAATTCCATTTGTATAACTCTTAGAAATATTTACCTAACATATAAAAAGGAAAATTAATGTCCATATAAAATTTATGTAGATGATCATTCCATATACAATGCAATCCTGGTAGGAGTCAAGCAGCTTTCACTCCTCCCTATGGGAGAGTAATCAATCACTCACTGTACAGCAGTCACAGGGGCACAGTGAAAGCAGGCATGCAATTAGGGTAGTCACTTATTGGCACATTTGTTACTCTATATGGAAATCTATTGGCAGTGTACTCGTGCTGAGAGCCACAGTATTTAAATTGATTTTTTTTCTTGTTGCTTGCAATATTTTCTCTTTAATTTGGGAATTTTGAAACTTGGCTATGACATTCCTGTAAATTTTCTTCTTAGAATCTCTTTCAGGTTATAATCAGCAGATTCTTTCTATTTCTACTTTACCTTTTTGTCCTAGAACTTCAGGGCAATTTTCCTTAATAATTTTTTGTAATATTGTATCCAGATTCTTTTTTTGATCATAACTTTCAGGTAGTCCAACAGTTCTTATATTGTTTCTTCTTGATCTGTTCTCCAAATTAGTTTTTCCAATGAAATATTTCAGATTTTTTTCTATTTTTTCTAGTTTTATTATATCTTCTTGTCTTATAACATCATTCTGTGTGTATTTGCCCAATTATATTTTTCCAGAAGTTATTTTCTTCTTTAAGATTTTGTATATCCTTTTCTAATTGGTTAACTTTCTTTTCATAATTTCCTTGTTCTTATTTGACTTTTGAATTCCTTTTTATTTTCTTCGTTATGATTTTGTATCTTTTTCTAATTGGTTAACTTTCTTTTCATAAATTTCTTGAATTGCTTTTATTTCTTTCTGAATTTTTCCTCATTCTCTCTTATTTAATTTTTGAATTGCTTTTTAAGTTGTTCCAAGATTTCTTTTTGGGGTTGTGACCATTTGACATACTCTTTAGAGTAGAAGTGGCTTTTTTAAACTCACTATCTTCCTCTGAATATGAACCCAGATCTTCTTTTATACCAAAGTAGCTATCCATGGTCAGGTGCATTTTCCTTTGATTATTCAATTTTATTTTTAATTTGTCTTATTTTATTTTTAGCAGCTTAATATTATTATTATCAAGTTTTAGTCCCAAGTTGTGGGTAATGTTGCTTTAGGCCTGAAGTCCTTCTTACTGTTGTTTTCTGAATTCTGTCTGGGGTCTCAATCTCAGAGACTCCTCTCTTCCTCCCCTATGCCCCAGGCATGCTGTCCCAAAAATGTTCTTATGACTGCGGTCTGGTTAGCACTTCTAGGCCTGAATTCTGGAAACAACAATCTTCCCTCACTCAGCCCTCTGCTGTTCTTTAGATGAAAGTTTGTGAGGCAAAAGTTGGTGAGGTGAAAGTTTCTGAGGCTGTGAGGTGAAAGTTCCTGAGGTGAAATTTATTGAGGCCATGAATGATATGAAAGTTGAGGTGAAATTTCTTAAGGCCTAGTCTGCTTCTCTAGGGGTCTTGTTTGTTGATTAGTAGAGTCAGCCTGGAGGTGTTTACACCTCACTCAGGCCAAACCTCCACCCCTAAAGTCTTCTCTGAGGTCCTCTCAAGATGTCTTAGGAGGACAATTGCTTTACCCCTTTACTTTTGTTGCTCTATGTTCATTTCATGTAATTTTCTGTCTGTTTGTGGAGGAAATCTGGAGAGCCTGGAAATTTCTGACCTACTCCAACATCTTCCTAGAATGCCCCTTTTCTCTCTTAAAGGAATCCTTATGAGGTTTCACTTAGATGTGTGTCAGAGAATCAGTGCATTTCTTGTATATGGTGTCCGCTTTTCTTTCTGCCATGAAGGATCATTCTCCTTGCTGATGTTGACTTTATGTACACTAAATTTAATTCAATAAACATTTAAGTGCCTACTATGTGTCTTGCACTGTGCCAAGCTCTGAGGATGCAAATAAGAAAAAAAGTCTCTTACCTTAAGGAGTTTACATCCTAATTGGGGGAAGACCACACACGAAAGCAAAATGAAAGGCAGGGGTGAGGGCAGGCAGTTTGGTTAATATGATGTTCCCTTTAGTCTAAACCAAGCAGAGCTGCTGATGGAAAATGAAGGGTGACATTTCTTGAGTATAGTGCCAGCTTTTCTTTCTGCCCTGAAGGATCATGCTCCTTGAAGCTGGTGCTGACCTTGGGTGACTGTCTTTATGCATTTGTCTGCAGTTCTTTCCACTGCCATCAGCTACTATTCTGGTGGCCAGTGCTACTTATACCATTCAGCTCTGGAATTCAGTGGGACCTCTGATGAACATCTAGATTTTTAAAGCTCGCTCATCTTGTAATACTCATTTGCCTAAGATCAGGACAGAATGAACAGAGACAGAGGCAACCATGCATTCTCAGCTGCTATTGTCAGGTGGGAAACAGGGCTGCCACCCCTCCCCTATCTAGCTTTTGGGTAGTTTTGTCTTCTCATAGCCACAAAGGAAAAGAATAATGACAAAGATGGTGACTCTTTTTGTATCTTCATTAAAGTTCTGGCTTAACAACTCTGAGTCAACAGTTCTGAATTCTACATCCATTATCACATAGTACCAGCCACTCAGATCCTCCCAAGCTTCCATTTTGTCTCAGACTGAAACCTTTGCACATACTTTAAGCACTGTTCTCTACAAGCCAGTCTTTCCTACTTAACACTAATTTTACAACACAAGAAAATTTTAGTAAGGATGCTTGTGAAGCAAAGTTAATTTGCCAAAATAGTATACTCAGTCAACCAGTAGTATTAGCTAAAGGTTATAAAAGTTTAGGGTTGTTAGTGAGGTTTATAAATTATTAAACACTAGAAAGGCAGGAGTAAAAGTTTGCTTTAGCTAATACTACTGGTTGACTGAGTATACTATTTTGGCAAATTAACTTTGCTTCACAAGCATCCTTACTAAAACTAAGTATAATAGTAAGGCAAGAATGAAATTTTTAGTCTGTGTGCACAAGATAAAGTCCAAAACTTCAAGTATTAAAGCTATTAGGTTAACACAGCAAATTTCTCCAGAACCTGGGGTCTCAGAAGCAAGAGGTCTTGATCCATGTTGGTTAGTGGTTGCCTGATGAGCCTCTAGATATAAAAGGCCTGTGTTGATTTCTTACAGGACCTTTATCAATATCATATGTAAGGTGATCTTTTCTTCTTTCTTATCACTGTTGCTATTGTCCTTTCAAAACTGAGCAATTCTCATGCTCCTGTTTGGAGCAATCTGCCATTAGATAAATTGGTATTCATTTCATAATAAAAACAAATGTCTTTCTGAAAATAAAAAAACGAAGAAAGGAAAGACTCATTTTTTCATTTATTAATGTTTCTGCTTTATACTAGTTTTAAATTAATGAGATGTTGTAGTCAAAGGAATTTCTTCCTATAAAGGCCAATTAGAGCTAAGAAAGAACCAATCCCAGAGAAAGACCTTGAAACACTGTCAATATTCTGAAAGCTTTTTGCTTAATTTAAAATCCTTACATTTAAAATATTTTATTATTTTGAATATATTCACTTAAACTTATTTTAGTATCTTGTCTTTTTTGTGTACTTTGTATGTTTATTAGTCTTATTTAACTATGATGAGAATTGTGATAACAATGTGTATGTATATCGTTATTAAATAAGTTTTCAAAGGTTTGACACTGAATGGAAAAGTTATTTAGTATTTTCTTAAGAGTGTAATATTAACAAATGTTTTATTTCTTAGATCACTGAATTAGCAGGTTATACTGCTCGAGTGTACAATATGTTTTGGGTCTTTGAAGAAGTAAACAAAGGAATTTATAAGAGAACTGCTATTCAAGAGACTGAAAACCCTACCAGGATTGGAGATAAAATAGAATTATCTTTCAGTGACACCTTAGAAATCAAAGGTACTAAATAAAATTTTAAACATTTCTTTATATTAAAATATTTCATTATTTATCAAAAATGTTTCTTATACCATACTTATACCAGGGCCTTTAACCAGATATAATAAATTCACCTTTCCAAAATTAATAGTTGTTGAAATAGCTGATCTTTAAATCAGCTATTGTTCAGTCTAATGTTAAAATTTCAGGAACCGTGCCCAGTAAAATATCTGTATTATTGTTCTTTGACCTGTTGCAAAATTATCAGAGACATCTTTGTGAACTACACAAGTGACAGAAAGAGTTGTTTAAAATTTAAATTCATATTTCCTGGTGGCTTAGCACTAATGTCGTGATATTTTAACTTAAAGATATCTGTTATGTTTGTTGCATAGTTTTTGTTCAGTCATTTCAGTCGTGTCTGACTCTTCATGACCCCATTTTGGGTTTTCTTGGCAAAGATACTGGAGTGGCTTGACATTTCCTTCTCTAGCTTATTTTACAGATGAGGAAACTGTCAAACAGGGTTAAGTAACTTTCCCAGGGTCATACACAGTAAATGTCTGAGGCCAGATTTGAACTCAAGAAGACGAATCTTCCTGAGTCCAGGCCCAGCACTATCCACGCTGCCACCTAGCTACTTGTTGTCATGCTTTTTACCCAAGGTACAGTTGTTTTTCAAAATAAAGTAGTTTGAATGTGTACTTTCACATAATGATCTTTATTTCAATTGTTCAGTTTTCTTATTTCTACATTTTTCATTACATGATTAAAAAAAACCTTTAATATTACTCTTTTATGTAGTATTGTTGTCCAGAAGAAAAACAACAGAAGAAAAAAAAATTTAGGTAAAATAATATAACAGATATAATAAAGTCTACTTAAAAAACTATTCCTTTTAAATTTTAAATAAATTTTAAAAATTATAAACAACTTACTTGAATAATCTGTATGACCATATTTGCCAAAATGTCTAAATTCACACTTGACCTAGCTCCAGATATTGACCTTTGATAATTGCTTTTGTGACTTCAGGAATTCTTTTTTGACATTAACTGATTTTTACAAAGATACTATATATTATTATTTATATATCAAATTGGTTGATCAAGGTGATGCTTTTCAAACTTTTTAATTTTCTTTAACTTATAGGAAAAGTTATCGATGTTGATCATGGAATTATTTGTGAAAATGTTCCTATTATAACACCAGCTGGAGAAGTGGTGGTTTCCAGGCTAAACTTCAAAGTAAGATGATATTCAAGAATCTTGTAACTTGAAATCACACTACAAACCATCTCAGAATTCATGTACCTTCTGTTAATTGTTTGAAGAAACAGATGTAAAGGAGGGGAAATGAAAAAGGTAGTGGCTCAATTATACATAGGAGCAGATAAATGCAATTTCTCCAATCCTGTATTTTTAGATTGAAAGTCAAATCAGGAGACAGGAGCAATAGGACATTTCCTTAAAAATGAATATTTGAACATAAAATGTTATTTATTCCATTTTCCTGTGTGAATTACTCTAAAATATGAGCCTGCATTATAATGTCATCATGGCTGAAATATGCTAGTAGTTTTCATTTACAAGTTTTATCCTAAAATATAACGTGATTACCACTTTATATAATAGTGACTAATATCAGAAAAGACTAATCAGAAGATCAGAAAGTTGAAATTGCTCTATACTTCTCATAATCTTATAAAAAGATTATTAATTTAAGATTTTAGGTCTTTGTTGTTAAATCATATAAAAGTATTTGACAGACTGTTTTGAAATAATTTAAAAGTAAAAATATATGGAATTCTAGTGTTGTAATAACCTGATTAATTACATTAGTGAAGGCAGATGAATTTAATTCAAATTTTAAAAATGACTAGAATTGACAACAGAAATGCAAACAAAGATAAATGTACTGATTTCTATATTCTAAATACTGACAAGAAGTACATCTGGGGCTAGAAAGCAGCAAAGGGAAGAAATGGAAGTACTCAAAAGAAAGATAAGCAAAGTTAGTCAATTTAATGGAAATTATATATTCCTCCTACAACTTTGGAAGTTGTATATCTTTATTTTTTGTAGTGTGAAATATGGGGAGTTGCCTTATATTCAGTGCTACCTTTATATGGGCCTATGATTAGGTTTTAGATAGTGATTTGAGGATAAGGTCTGAGTATGAAATATATTAAGGAAACATAATAATCTTCACATTATTTAAGTTGTATACTGTAAAGTTGTATACTTAAAAAAAATCATGCCTTTGATTTCATTGGAATAGGGAATTAATGAAGACTTAGCAGTTCATGCTCTGCAATTTATAGTCTTAAGAATTACTTGAAGCATTAAGACTTGTCCAGGGTCACAGAGCCAGGACTCGGAAGTAGGACTTAAACCAAATTTTTCTTAACTCTGAGGCCTTGTATCTGTCTGCTACAGAGTAGCCTCTGGTAAATAGAGTATATTTTAATTATTTACCGTTAGTTTAACTACTTATAATCTTTCTATCCTTCATACCCTATTTCTTTTCAGATCTGGTAAACCAGGATAAACTATTGATGTTTCTATTTATTAAAATTAACAAGGTTCTTGAATTCCTCCTCATTTATCTGATTTTAAAAAATAACCCAGAGTGACACAAATTTAAATTCTGAGTTTTCTTAGTAAAAGATGTCAGAAAATTCCCCCTTATTCTTAGTTCCTTCCCTCTGAAATTGCCCCAAAATTTTCCTGTATGTACATTTATTCTATAAATGTCTTGTTTGTAGATAGTTGTTTGTGTATTGTCAGTAGACCACGAGCTCCTTGAGAGGAGAGACTTTTTTTTTGTCTTTCTTTGCATTCCTTACTCTTTGCACAGTACCTCATACACAGAAGAGGTAACTTAATAAATGCTAGGATAGTGCTGATTGATGACTGTATTCATTGCAGTACTCTGCAATGAGATAGAGCTCACAGTGAGGGCCTTCAGCAAGGGCAGGGACTATTTAGGAAATATGAATACCTAACACATACAATCTGACTTCATTCTCTCTACTAATAATAGCTAATGTTTACGTAGCATTTAAGATTTGTATACAAATGTATATGTATATATGACATCTCATTTAAGAAGAACATATATATATAATGTATGTATATGTACATATGAATCTCACTTCAGAACATATATATCGATATTCTATATATAAAACATATGTAGATATTCTACATCTATATGTATGTATACATGTATATGTGTGTGTATATGTATATATATGTATATATATAATAGCAGAATAATAGCATAGCTATTATTATCTCCATTTTACAGTTAAAGAAACTAAGGCTGCAGTCTTGCTGCAGTCACACAGCAAGTAAGTGTGCGAGGCAAGATTTTAACTTGTGTCTTCCTGACTTCCAAGTCCGATGTTCGGCCCATTATATTCTCTTGCTGCCTCTAGCTATTCTTTGTGTGAGTACACAAAGAAGAATTGAAGGTTATATCCTTTCCCTTATACTCTTTTAAGTCTTTGCTATGAAATAAACTTCAGTTTGGTTATACTTTAAAAAAATCTGTAATCACAATTCACTAAGAGCAATTAAAATCAGTGACATGTAAACATGACTTTAGTTTTCTTAGATAAAAAGCCAACCTCAGCTGATGGAGTAGAAAGGACTATGGATATGAAATCAGAGGACCTGGGTTTGAATGCTGCTTTGGCAATTAGCTACCTTTTGTATTGAGAGTCCCAGAATCAGAGTCTAAAGAGGAACTTGTGTTTGAGCACTGGCTTTGAAACTTTATGTGGCCTTGGGATAGTCACTTAACCTCTGTCATCCTCAGTTTCCTTATTTGCAAAATCAGGATAATAGTAAGTATTATTTAACTCACTTTGTAAACCTCTAATTGGGGCCGTGTGTATTATTTTATTATCCATATTACATGTTCTTGGACAAGTTAATTAACCTCTCTCAGTTTAATTTTATTCACCTGTAAAATGAAGGGATCAGACCAAATGACCTCCAAAACTGATTCTGGATATAAAACTTGTGATGCACTATGTTTGTTATTATATTTGCAGTTGCCTAATATAGTGCTATATAACTTATGGGTTAATGTATTTGAAAATTGGGTACATTTGCCCAATATAGCTACACTAAGCCCAATTATTTAGAGAGAGAGAAATACTGTGGGTTTATTCCTTGCATACTTTTTCATATTCTTTTCATATATAACATTCATTTTTTATATGGTGGATTGTAAGACCTTAATAGGAATACAAAGTTTCAGTAGTGCTCCCATATCTTATTCTTCAGAGGGTCTAATAATTTCAAGAAGTACTGCACTATGCCAGTGGAAACTAGTTTTTTGTATGAGGCTGCAAAAATATGTCCTACCTTCAGTACTATATATGAAGTAACTAGATGTCACGGTGGGTAGAGTAGTAGACATGAAGTCAGATATACCGTAGTGCAAATCTGGCCTCAAATATTTACTAGCTATGTAACCCCGAGCAAGATACTAAACCTCTGTCTGCTTCAGTTTCTTCATCTATAAAATTTAAGGTTAAAATGAAATAATATTTTGGTGTGCTTTGAAAGCATTAAAATATTATATAAATGCTATTATTATTATCATCATCACTTGTAGTACTATAATTTAAAACTTGCTTTTTCTGCTTCAAAGAGAAGGCTTCTTGATCTCTTAAAGAACTGTAGTCATTGATAAAAATGAATTGATTAAATTTTAATTTGAAAGCAAACTATGGTTTGAACAACATGGGATTTCTTGTTGAGCATGTAAAGATATAAACACATACATACATATAATTCATAGTATTAAAAAGTTTGCAGTTTATAATTTTCATACTATTTTAGGTACAAGAAAGAATATATCTTCTGATTAGATAGACAGAGCCTTAGAAATTCAAGGTGTCTCTAATCTGTTATATAAAGGCAAATCATTAATATTTGGAGGAATATACAGGAACCATGGAGATAAATGGAGATTCAGCTTTGATATAAGAAAAAAAATTCTTAACAATTAGAAAAATGGAGACATATCTTCAGAATACTCAATGTTCTAGGCAACTCTTTTAAGCTGTAGAGATAGTGCTGACCTACTTTGGTAGATGGAGTTTCCTTTGCAAGTAGTTCTCTATACTCATGAAATTAGATAGTTAGACAACATTTATCAAGCATGTACTATGGACCAAGCATTGTGCTAAGTGATGGGGATAAAAAAGAAAGGCAAAGCCCCTGCCTTCAATGAATATATATTCTAATGGAGGAAACAACATGTAAATAGCTAGATGCATACAAGATATATATAGAGTGTTGTTTAGTCATTTCCAACTCTTTGTGACCCCACTTGAGGGTGGCAAAGACAATAGTGTGGTTTGCCATTTTCTTGGCTCATTTTACAGATGAGAAAATTGAGGCAAACAGGTTTAAGCAACTTATCGAGGGTCACCCAATGATGTTTTCCTGACTCTAGCCGCCACCTAGCTGCCTTGTATGTAGAGAGTAGGTAGCAGATAATCTGAAAGGGAAAGGTATTAACAGCTGGGATTCGGAAAGGTCTCCTGCAGAAGTTGGAATTTTAATGGTCTTGGAGGGAAGCAAGGAGACCAAGAGGTATGGGTGAAGGGGTAGAAAATTCTAGGAATGGAGAACAGATTGTTCTTGAGAAAATTGAAATAACTGTCACTGGCTTTCAAATGAAAGTTGTCAATTGATATGATTTAAAATACAATTTATATTTTATGTATAACATAAATTTTTATATTTATATAATCAAATATATTACATGTAATTTATTTCTATATTACATGAAATATAATATAAAGTATAAATATATTTTTATGTAATATAAAAATATAAAATTGTTATAATTATTTTAAAAATGTTTTTAGCCAGACTGGCAGCATGGTATAGCGGATTAGACAGCCAACCTATGAGTCATGAAGATCTATGTTAAAGTCCTGTCTCAGTCACTTAACCCCTAGGTATCCCAGGAGACCTCACTTTGTTGATCTGCATTTCTAGATAGAATTTCCTAACCAGGATATACACCAGTGAAATCATAAGTCCAGTAAAAAAACAATAGTAACTTATTTTTAATATTTATTATTTTCCAAGTAATTATCTCTCCATATGTACAAGCCATCTCAAATGTGAAAGGAGTATACTTATTAATTAATTACCTTAAATTTTGATGAGCCAGAATCAGGGCTTATTTTTATTCTTATCATTTTCTTTGGAATTTTTTTTCAAGGTGCTTTGATTCTCAGAGCCTAGTAGAAGACCTCATTTAATATCGTCAGCCATGATAAATGCTTTCCTTTGTTTCATGGCACATATTTTGTGTGCCAGCACTTAGCACAGTGCCTGACGTGTGCATTTGACAGTATGCATTTAATAAATGTTTTTTGATTATTTGATCATGGCTTTCCAGGGTTATTATGTATATACAGATAGAATGTCTACCACAATGCCTTGCGCAGAATTGGAAGGGACCTTTAGAGGCCAACTAGTCCAACTCATGTGTGAATAAGAATGCTCTCTCCAACATACCTGACAAGTCATCTCCTTGCCTTTGCTTGTAGGGGAGCTTACTACCTCCTCAGGCAGTCCATTCCACTTTTGTACAGCTCTGATTGTTCAAGAGTTTTTCCTTTTATCAAACCTGTTTTCCTCTGTGTAACTTCCACCCATTACTCCCAGACCACATGGTTTTAAATATTTTTGAATGAATGACACACTTGATATGGCACTAAATGTTTTGAAAGAAATACGTATTTAGAAATCTCCTAATACACTCGTAGGTTTAAATTGCAGTTTATCATTTTCAATTATTTTAGGTACAAGAAGGAATGCATCTTCTGATAACTGGTCCCAATGGTTGTGGGAAAAGTTCTCTCTTCAGGATTTTAAGTGGGCTTTGGCCTGTGTATGAAGGAGTCCTCTATAAACCCCCACCTCAGAATATGTTCTATATTCCACAAAGGTATGTGCTTCTCTTTAGTACACAAAGAGCTTTAAAATTTCCTATTAAAATCAACTAGGATCAATTTTCTATTTCCCTTAATTTTTTTCTGATTTCCTGGGTTGGGGAAGAAATGAATATAACTTAAATAACTCAATGACTATTTTGATTAAAATTGTATCTGATTTAATCAAATAGCTTTTCATTCTCATGTATCTCTAGATTATAGAGAATTACTCAAAAACACGAGTTATTGATCTCGTAGCAGGACAGTTTATTCCAAAGGAAAGTTAGATTGCCTAAAAAAAAAATGGAGAGTCTATTATCCTATCATTGATTCAGATATCTGAATAAAATTACTGGCCATTTAGTATTAATTCTTTTTGGCCATATAAGCTCCATATTGCTAGTCTGCCTTGATGGAGGGAGTGTCTATACAACTGAAATCACTAGAACTGCATGAAATAATTTCAGTGGTGATGGACTTCCTTGCTTTGTCCCTGATCCTGCTACAAAGTGTTTCTATTAGAAGCAAACATTTCTTTTAAGTAGGGGTTGTTTGAGTCTTTGTTCTTCTATCTCCTGATCTTAGCCTGGTGTAGGTAGCGTGGTTTAGCATGTAGTAGGTGCTTAATAAATACTTGTTAATTGAGTGATGTTTTCATTAAATTAATACTAGTTCTTGGTCTTTTATACTTACTGTTCATTAGAATAAGGAAAGTTTCATTTATTCCTATCCTTTTTCGTGTTTTTGCATACATGAAGGCCATTCATTTTTTTCATCTCTTAATTCAATCATGTAGTTTTCATTTTTGTTATTAATATAGTCTATTATTTTTATGGGCAGCTAGGTAGTATAGTGGATAGAGTGCTGGACCTGGAGTCAGGAAGATTTATTTTCCTGAGTTCAAATATGGTCTCAGACAATTTCTAGCTATGTGGCCCTGGGCAAGTCACTTAACCCTGTTTGCCTCAGTTTCCTCATATGTAAAATGAGGTAGAAAAGGAAATGGCAAACCACTCTAGTATCTTTGCCAAAAAAACCCCAAATGAGGTCATGAAGAGTCAGACACAGTTGAAATGACTGAACAACAACAACAATTATTTTTATTTTCCTGATATTGAACCATCCCTAAATACAACTTAATCATGGTGAATAATCTTTTGAATATATTGTTGTAACCTCTTTGCCCATACTGTTTCAATATTTTTACATATATTAATGAGTACTATAGTCTTAGTGTCTCAACCTCCATTTTCTCTGTAAAATAGGAAAATTAATAGCATCTATCTCACAGAACGCATTGTACAACAGGATTGTTGTGTAGATCAAAGATACTATGTATCTCATTCACACGGTTTTTTGAAGATAAAATGAAATATATTTTGCAAACAAGCAGTAAGTATTACATAAATGTTACTTATGATTGTTATGAAGGAGAGTATTGAAATAATTTTCATTGTGGGAATGAGTAAAAGTACTATGAGAAGAAGAATCCAGTGGGTATTCTCTATCCTCACCATCTGGAAGCTTTATGTGGGAAGCAAAAGACAGGTTGCAAGAGGTAGATAGAAGGGAAGAGAGTATCCTGCTATACATAAATTACAGGAATACTACGTGCCTCTTGAACCTTTAAAGCTATGATGGAAATCAGGAGCAATACTGTGTCATGTGACTAATTTGCTTTGCTGTGCTTGTTAGGCCACTCTTAAGAAGTTTGGAGCGAAGTTCTTCTCTGTCCTCTCATTAAAGCTGTGATAGATGTCAGAGGTGACATGACAAGTAGAAAGAAGATGAAAGAAAATAACACTAAGGATTTGGGGGCAGGAGAAAGCCATATCACAGATATACTTTTGTGGGCACAACATAGATAATAACTGTTTTTAAATAGTGTCATTTTCCTTTCCATTCAATTCCATTAAAGTACTTTAGGAAAGTTTCTAATTATGGTGTATTGGCAAAAGATTATGTTTCAGAAAATAAATTTTTTCTTAGATAAAACCCACAAAATATGACAAGTGTAATATTTGATTTTAAGTTTTATGTTTTTTAAAAGTTATGAGATCATGAAAGAAAGCAGCATAAAGTGTACACAGTCTTTTAAAAAAGCACAGCTTTGTCCATAGCTCTAATATGAAATATGTAAGTTCTTTCTAGACAATGAAAATATGAAATCCACCATTTTCCCTCTGAAAGAGCTGTAATTTTTCAACAAATCAAAGCTACAGGGATCTTTTTCTTGGTTTAATATGATTGCCTTTTCCCAAGTTGAAAGATTGATCATAAATGCATAAATGACAATTTAGGTAAAATACAAATGTTATTTAATAAGAAGTCTATTTCTATCCAAACAAAATATATCCAATAATTACTTTTAAAACTATCCAGATTGTAATTGTATGTGTTCTTCAATCTTTAAAAATTTATACATAAATATATTTTTCTTACCAAAAATTCAATATTTAGGGTAAACATAGTATTCAAGTAAAAAATATAGCATTTTTTAAGTGGATTGCCTAGTCAATATGCATCAGCAGTGTGATGTGCTATTTCCCCAAACTAAAATCTTTGTTGAGCTGCAATTGCAGATACATAGCTAAGATACTATGTATCTCATTCAAGTATACGAAAAGTGGTAATTGTTTGATATACTGCATTCACAAGACATCATCTGGAGTGCTGTTTTCAGTTCTGGGCATCAGTTTAAAAAGATATTAACAGGCCATAGAAGATCCAGAAGAGGGCAGTTGGGCTGGGGAAGAGTCTCAATTTCATGTCTTAGGAATTGAGATCTTTTTTTTTTTCAGCCTGAAGAAAAGATTTGGGGAGCGTGAGAAGAGGGGCAGCAGATGTTATAACTATGTTCAAGCATTTATAAGGCTTTCATGTAGTAGAAGGATTAGACTTATTCTGTTTGGCTCAAGGAGGCACACGAGCCATAACCTCCATTACAGAAGTAAGAACCAGAGAGATTAAGTGATGTTCCTAAGGTCATACAACTAGTATGTTGGTAAAGCTAGAATTAGAATTCTATCTCCAGACTTCCATTCCAACTCCTTCTATATTATATATCATATTATAGTATATAATTGTTTCCAAACATCACCTCATACCTTTCCAGGCATAACTCATACAAATTACATGTGAATAGGTATCAGAATTAAATTGGGGCATAGATGATCAAATTATTGCATATGAATTAAATTAAATTCTATTGTTATATAAGAAATGATAAAATGTATAGATTCAGAGAAACTTAGTTAACATAAGTCAATAAACATTTATTAAGTAGCTGTTGCATGCCTAAGAAGACGTATATGATTGATGGAGAGTGAAGTGAGCAGAGCTTAGAGAACATTTTAAACAATGATTACAAAGATGTAAGGAAAACAAATTTTAAAGGCTTAAGTACAATGACCAGTCATGACTTCAGGAGACTGATAATGAAGCATACTTCCCACTAAATTTGTTTTGTTTAAGAGTATTTATTTGTTACAAGAGGCTTTTATTGGGGAGAAGGAGGAGTTATATAAGGAGAGAGTGGGTAACAATAGTGACATTGACATCATATCCAGATGAGTGAGGCTAGAATAGTGATGGAAAGAAGACTGTCTGTGAAGTCAGAGCATCTAAGTTGAAAGCTTGCCTTAGTTAATATCTGTATCATTTTAGGTATATCAGTTAACCTCTCTGGGCCTCAGTTTCCTTACATGTGAGATAAGCGGATTGGAATATATGGCCTCTCAGGTCTCTTTTAGCTTTTAATGTATGGGCCTATAATCCATTGGAAAAACTGGGGATCTTTAGTCTGGGAAAAGAAGACTTGGAGGGGGAGAGGCAGAGAAGCTATCTTTAAAGGACAATACTCTAGAAATGTTCATCTTTTTCTGTCTGGACCCAGAGGGAAGAACTAAAGTAGCGAAGGTTGCAGAGAGACAATGTTTCCAATAATTGACTGTCATTTAGTTCACATTTGGACTGCAAAGATAGCAAGAAAGATCTTGTCACATGCTTTGCATACAACATCCTTCTGATATCTAGTATCTATATCCAAAGGGGAAATGCAGTGAGTCTATCATGACCTGTTCTTGATGACCAGTACCATCTTCTTTATCAAGACTTTCTTGATCTTCCAGCTGCTACTGCTCTTTTTTTTTTTTTAATTCGCCTTATATTTATTTAACATATACATATTTATGCACATGTTGTCTCCTTGGATAGAATGTGTAATGTGGGTCTGGCACTTGTTGAGGACACGGACTTTTTGTGTCCTCTGGCACTGGAAGTACCTTGTACTTTTAGTGCTTGGGACTAGAGAGAAGGGGAGAGACTTTTGTAATTGAAAGGTTTCTGCTAAGAGAATTATTAAGGTTGATCTGGGTCTAAGGATTTTATTGTACCTCAGGTTGCTTTTTTGCAAGCCCTTTACACACATGCTAAACTCCTTGATCCATATTGCAAGACAGGTTGGAAAGGTAGCCATTATTGCTGCATTTAGTTAAATGCATATAGTTGCATTTAGACCAAGGGAGAGAGAACCCTGCTCCTAAAGAATCTATCCCTGCTGAAGCTTCACCAATAATTTCAAGACCACCCAATCTTTAGGAGGAGGAAGTAAAAAGGGGCAACAGGCAGGGAGCATGGTGGTGGTTGTCCACTTTAACCTCAGGGATGTGCCAGTAGTGGGTTGTATGGCCTATGCCCAGGACCAGGCGAGTAGTTGACAGCAGTCATATCACAGATGTAGGGGCTGTGGAATGGGGCCAACAAAGGGTCACAGGGTATAGGGAAGGCAGGCTGAAGGATCATTAGGAGAAGGAAGCATATCCTCCAGATGTAGGCTATCTATGTGACAGGTATTTCCACCAGCTGAAGGAATACAAATTTTTGCAGACCCCTTTAAATTTTAGTAGCTTGAGGAAGAGCCTCAATCGTTATCCTAGTTATAACTCTGCAAGGCTGGTTATCAATGAAGAATTCCCAAGTAGGAGAACCTTTTGTCCATCTCTTGTGTGTAGTG